TTTTTTCTTGGAAAAGAAGGCAAAAGGCTCTCTGAGTGCAGCCAGGGGTGAAGGGAACTGGAAAATCTCTGCTTTGTGCCCTCTCGTGGCAGTTGAATTTTTCTTGTCCTCGGTGCCTGCACTTTCACACCCAAACCTTTGGGGTTTCGTGCTGAAAGACCCAGCAAAGACATCATTAAATGCTGCTGTTTCCTTCCCCAGAAAAAACAGGGAAGTGGGAAAACCCACAGGTCCACATTTCATATTTCTGCCCTTGGCTGCACGACTTTGCCCTTCAAACAGTTTGTGGGGTTTGACAGGTGGCACATCCCAAAAAAAAAAAAAAAAATGCCCCAGGGCTGAGAAAATTGGGAAGGGCATCCCATGAGCCACAGGACTCGGCAGAACTAAAATTTTCTTTTTTCTTCTGCTCTCTCTGCAGGCAAAAAGCKCTGGCATCGACAGGAGGAAGGAGCGTTCAAGCAGCATGCGACTGGTTGGTATGAAGTAAAAAATGCTAAAAAGTGAAAGAAATTGGGCAATTTAATGTTTTAGCCATTAGGAATGTGGAATATTTCAACAGGGGTTTTAAATATTGGAAATCTGAAAAGCACCTGCAGGATTAGCAAGGAGCTAAATTTTAKTTTGTGTTGTAAATGAGCAATGCAGGAATGAGCCCGGTGTGAGAGGGTTTGGGATCTGCAGGAAAAGCAGGAACAGGAGGGAGARGGAATCYCYCACTCTCTGCAGCTGAGCAGRAAWGCTGAGAGCTGCCCTCTCAGGGATGGGGAGCGATTTTCAGTGCTGTCCTCACTGCGTTTTGCACTCTGAAAGGGTGAAAAAGCAGAAGCAGTGACCTGGGTTAGATCTTCAGTGCATCAGCCTGAAACTCAAACCMAATTTTCTGTAATTCTGAGCAGCAGGGATGGGCTGCAGGTCAGGGAGGGCAGATCTGCCTGACCCCAGAGCTGACTTTTCCCAAAARGAGAGAGTGAATGGGAGCCAGCACAGGGTGATTTTAGGATTTTAGATTCTCTATTTCCATGTCTCTGTAACCCTGGGATTCT